GGTACGAACGCTCTCATTGGTCTAAGCGCGTGATGTATTTAGCCGGTCAATGCACGCTTGCGAGTAGTAATCTTGAAAAGTTATCCTTCAGCAGCATGTTAGTAGGGAAATAATATATCAAATGCGGCGAAATGCGGCCAGATACTGCTGTTATATGGTACATGTAAATACACTTTATATGGAGTCGAGCTTTCGCTGTTCTACAGCATCATCACGACGTGATTACACTTGTAATTTTTTTAGTCCTTTTTTCATTAAACCGTTTATAAATAGCGTTCTTAACTTTATCACTCTTTATTTTGCATGATTTTTGATATTTTTTTGTCTATTCGATACCTCACACTTTGACAATTAAACTTTGTTTCACAGGTTTTATGAAAACCACTCTCAGACGAGAAGAAGAGGGTCTGTCGTATGACTGTCATCTATAGTCGATTGAAAAAAGGTTGTCGTCAACCGGACTTGGTAGCACGCGACCCACCCGAACAGGTTTCAATTTTTCGTCTGAGTATGACCTTGTTTTTTTTTTGTTTTTGTTTTTTTTTTGTATTTTTTAAGAATTCGAAAACAAACATTGAACGTTGTTATCAGTATCCTAGATACGACGCGGCTAGATTACTTGTGAATTTCAAGGTTGTATTCCCCGCCACGATGAAAAACGATGTGAGATGCAAAAATCTCCATCACGTGCCTGCATGATTAAATTCCAGTGATTTAAAAATTTCTGTCATACACTATGTGTCAGTTCCAATCACAAAGGCGTTCAAATCTCTAATTTGCAAGTTCAATGATTTTTACCCCGAAGCCAGTTCGGGCTAGTCGCGTTTCGTGAAACCTGGTTGACGACAACCTATTGTCAATCGACTACATGTTTGTGCATGTACACAGCGCTGATGTACACTTAATTTTTTAAGGACGCGCAATAAGATTCGAGCCAGCGCTGTGCATTGCCTAGCCCTATTTTTTTTTCTAAAACTAACCATTACATGTACAGTAAGTTATGGGTCCAAATCGCTTGAGTGAACCTAACTTTTTCTGATATTTAAGCAACGGCATTCATAAGATGGGATATAKAGCAGTCTATGTGTACATAAGAGACATGCATATGAGAGACATCCATATATGGTTATAATTCATTTGTACGACAGACTCTACTCGACTAGTAGTTTTACTTACAGTCTCCTATCCAGCTGAGCTCSAGCTCAAAGTTCTTGTCTTTGACTTCATCATGGATGACATAAATACTATCGAAGGAAGACACATTTTTATATTTTTACCCTCAATGTTTTGTTGCTGTGCCTTCATTTGAGGGACAAAACAATGGAGTCAAGGGAGAAAGTGCTTTTTCCTCTGACAATCCTACCACCCCCCACCCCTGGAAGTTAATTATTACCAAGCTTACATGCACATGAGCATAATGYACATATTTTAGAGTTTATCATATATTATATATATTTACATTTGTAATATAGTCGTATTTCTTTGCAATGACTGTAAATAAAGTTTATTATTACATTACAGTACACGTACATCTCCTGGATGTATTCATGGAGAATACTTTAAAGTATGTCATAACCTTTGAAAACATATATCAAGGGATGTGCATTGTAACACTTAAACCTCCATGACTTACATTTTGGCAACTTCTTTGACTGCGTCTTTGCATGACATTTTCTGCATCTGTTCAAATAAACACCACATTTTTTCAAAATATGCACTTTTTTGTAAAATTACGCAAATCCACATGTGAAAACCAGAATTGTGTGAATTTTCATGCTTACATGTATTTGCATTTGCACGTTTGACACAGACACAAAATTTCCTCTAAGTACATGTATGAAGTTACATGACTTTTGTACACGTTTTTAACAACTATCATCGGGAACCCAGGGGTAATCTTCTGTCGTTCGCTCCTCTTTTTTCTGGGAGTGAGGAACGAACGACAGAAGATTACCCCTGGGTTCCTGAGGATGCGTTTTTATTAGCTCATTGACTTTTATGCTTGCTGAAAAATTGTACATGTCAACATTGATTCATTTGTATACAGTGCATTATTCAATAAGCGGAACAGAAAAATTGGTAAACATTGTGAATTTTAGACCAGGTAAAGACAGAAGAATAACTTTGAATCCCAAAGATTTTCTTGAAGACGTGAATGCACTTATTCTAAAAATCTTAGAAGAGTACAATAAATATTTGTAGTGTTAAAACTCTACCTCAAGCTTTTCAATTTCTGTTTTAGCAGATTGCTTAGCTTTTCCTATAGCACAGCCATGATATCCCTGTGGACCACAAACATAAATACACTTTATTATCACAGAAGAACTTGCAAATAATAAGAGATTGCCCTGACAATTACAGGGCCTTTCCTTCTCTTGCAAAAAAAAAACCTGGGGAAGAGGTTGTACATGTATTTTATATTAATATTTTGATATTTCTATCCTACTGTAGCTACATGTATTGCCAATAATTATGTATTTAAGTAATTGAGTGTGCGAATAAAGTCTTGTTGATGTTGTTAGAGTCCAAGAGTAGCTTTAAATGTTATAATTTATGTAACAGACACTGGATGCTTTTTTTGTCAAAATTTTATTTTAAACTGAATACTTACATACGAAACTCCAGAAGGATCAATAGTGTATAACTGAGGACCATCAGGACCATGTGAGCTCATCATAATGCTAGACAAATAGACAAATATCACTAGCTATGTATGATACCTTATATATACAGGGGGATATACAGTCAATCTGTTAAACGTTGTTCAGTTATAAAGACAACAACAAAGTCATTTGCTGAAGAAGACTGAGGTGTTGAAACCTCCAATAATTAACAAATAAGGCTCAGCCGTGGTTTATACTCTGATAAACGCACGCTTGGCATTTCAAGCACAAGAGAAAATTTCAAGAAGCACGAGCTGAAAGCGAGACATTTTCTTGTGTGTTTCAAATGCCAAGCGTGCGTTTATCAGAGTATAAACCACAGGCTGAGCCTTATTTACTTGTTTTATTATATAGACTTTGAGCAAAAATCTTTTATGAGCACAATCGTGGTTTATACTCTCATAAACCACACTTTTTTGGCCAATCAGAGCGCGCCTTAGAATTCATCTATATAATAAAACAGGGATATTATAGCTTCAAGCTAATGTTTTGTTTAATTTCATTTTACCTATCATAATTATATTTTTTACTTTTTTGAAAGAATATTCAACTTAAAGCTAAAAATAAATGTTATTAAATTTCAGCAGCATTTGATTTGTAATTTATCTGGAGTTATACATTGGAAAACTTCATCAGTATATTAAAGTGTTATATTGTTGTCTCTTTGTCATACACAGGGACTGCGGAGCGGGATCTTGTTTGGGGGGGCTAGTGGCGAGGAGGTACTAGGGGGGTCGGAAATTTCTGAAATCTTAACTCTCGGAAATGCCATTTCCAGCGTTTTGAGGCGTTATCCAAGACATATTTACTGCAGGCAAGGTCAGCAATATTATCAATAAAATCCCAAAGAATTCATAAGGAGGCTCTTCGCTTCTTTATTTAAGAAAATTCAAAATGTCGGAAATATTATTGGGGGGGCTGTACCCCCCCAGCCCCCCCTGCTCCATGGTCCCTGATACATGTATGTACGCACATCACAGTGTACATACCTGCACCCAAAGGGTCTTACAGCACTGTATAAGGTATGAGCATGAATGAATCCAGACACACGATTGACAAGATACTGAAAATACAATAAACTCACACTGATCATTCAGATTCATAGACCACACACAAAGCATATGGTTGTACCTTTAGTGGTATTGGAGTACCATAAACTGATCTGTAGTTAGCAGCCTCTTCTCTTGCTGTTGATACAATCTGTGATAAGCTGCTATCAGTACTATATTCACATTTACTGTTCAATTTACAGCATTACAGCTATTGGACACTAGGTAAAAATATGTGTGTAACACACTCTATAATATGTAAGTGGTGAGGGGGTAAACAGGAAAATATTTAGTTGACCTCATGTAGGATCTGTAAAATGACTGAAAGACCAATACTTGCACATATGGCCTGGCTTTTCTAAGTCAAAAATCAGGTTTTTTTATCGCATGACCCATTTTAAAAACAGACAAAATTGAGAAATTGAAACAAAGGTGAACGAGTGGAAAAAGACAAAAAAGACAAAATTTAAGCAATTGCATACATCCCTCAGCCTCCACCCCCAAGTGACTTTTTCCAAGGTTTTCTTATGAGCATTGTGGCCAGGAATATATGGTTGATAGGAAGCTTATAAGGTCCAGTACAGTCTCACTTTTCCTATCTAGTGCAAGCTCACCTGTCTTGCATCTGCTAGAAGACCAGCAATAGCCTGAAAAAAACAAGAAGTAACCATAAGTGTTGTAAGATAATTCAGTCAACATTAAGTTTAAGTCAATATTCTCCAATTATAAAATACACAAGCTTGCTGTATGGCTTAAATATCAAGTCTTTAATAACTCAACTGCATTTACATCAAACTTAAATTGGTTAACTAGTAAAGTAGGCAATTACCATTCCAATGTGTGAGTCAATGTGGAATATTCTTTTGTTGGCTCCATATTCATATAACTTTGAAAGAACAAGCTTTTCAACACCAAACACAACACCATCTTTGCATCTGATTGCAACAGCAGTCCTATAAATGAAAAAAAAAGTTGCATTAAAAGTGATTCCACAGTATTGCATGTATGGTATTTTTCATTTTGACAGAACCATTGCCCAGACCAGTTTAAATTACAATAAAGCATGTATTTTATCAAGTTTTTTCATGATTTTTCCAAGCTTTCAATTAAACTAATGGATCAAAATTTAGAAACTCATTCTTCTTATACTGTGTAAGAATTATTGGCATCTGCCCCTGAGCCATTTATGACAAATGGGAAGCATGTGGTATAAAATCTCAGTTAACTGATTTAGAGATTTGACAAGTGGTAAAAGTGCAAYGCAATGATTGTGAGGGGGCCTGGGAATGAGTATGCATGAACAGCAGGGACATTTGTTGACGCTGACCGCACGTATATCGCGGGCAACGCATGA